ACAATTAACTTGTTTTATTTTTTATTCAGTGGCGGAAACGTGCTTCCATAGTTAAGTCCTCCCATAGCACTGGCAAGAAATCCTAGAGCTACTGCACTGTAAAAAATCCAACTTATATTTTGTATTACAAACTCAGTTTTTAAAGTTTATTCAACTATTTAACATTTAAAAAGTTGAGATAACACATAAAAGTAAGTAAAATAGAAATGTAGACCAATTTGTTTGACCAAATTAATATTTAAAGTTGGAACAACTAACAACTTTAAGTTTGTTATAAGTATTGCCCACAAAGGCTGATGAGCATGTGCAGTTCGATCACTTTTTTTGTATATACAACGCCATTTTCATTTCTCCCACTTCAATTTCGAGTTGCCTCAAGCGGCGACCGTTTATTCCGTCATTGTGTTCGCTCCGTAAGTGTCGTTCTATGTGTATCAATTCACGATATGATTTAAGTGAAATTTGTTCACAATATGCGCTTCTGTACAGCATAGGTGGCGGCAAGTTAGTCATTTCCCCGCCTGGTCTTATGAGTTGCCTCGGGTCAGACGGCGCCCGTTGTTTTCCGACAGTGCAATCGCTCTGGCAGGTATTGTTCTATGCAGGCTGTGATAATAATTTACAATAAGATTTGAATGGTATTTGTTCACAATATGTGCCTCTGTACAACTGCTTAACGTTAGGTGGCTCTAACTTGGTCCGTTCAACCTCTGCTTCGTCTTCGAGCTGCCTTAAGTCATACAATGCCAGTTTTTTCCCGACAGTGTCATGACTTGGGTAAGTAACGTTACTGTCCTATGCATATTAAGTAAAAGGATTTAGATTAGGGTTAAGGATATATAATTTACTTTATTTGCTTATAATATGTTCATTTTGTACAATTGTGTGGGTGCCTTTGAGTTTTGGATAAGGTCATTGAAGTTCTAAATGTATTAAGATGAAAAAAAAGTTTAAACAAATTTAACAATAAAAGTTAAGCTTGTGTGTTTTTGTCCCAAAGATGCATTTTCTTCATTTAACTTAATTTACGTTTATTTGCTTGTTAAATGCGAAGTATTTGTGTAGCTTATGTTTGCTAAGTGTACTATAAATCTGTATCTATATGTTAACCACTGGAGCGTTGAAGTCTCACCTTTCAATTTCACACAAGCGCTTATCTTCACGTGAGAGTCACTTAACATTTAATTGTGAATTGTGTGACTTTAAGGAATTTGTAAAACACCTGATTACTTCAAACATATTAGGAGCCATTTAAAAATCATTCAAGTGTAAGGTGCCCTTTTAGCCAGTGTGATTTTAAAACAAATCTGATTTCATCATTCAGTGGTCACAGAAGTCGGAAACATTGCAGCTTTTCTATTACAGACTTTAGAGCAAATATCGTTATTCAAAATGCAGAACCAAAAGACCGTGAGCCACAAACTGCCCAGTTATTTCCTGGAGACAGCCATCCTCATGAAACTGACAGGTACCCTCTTGAAGGGGAAAGTAGTTCTATGCCTTATCTTGATGAGGCAACAGAATCCGAGTTAGAATCGGTGGATTATCTCATACTTGAAAGGAAATTGATCTCTTTGTTGTTACGAACGCACTTTTAACCGCCATTGCAATGAATTTTATATTGCTGGTGATAGATATGAAAGACTTTGGCCAATATATTTTTGACTGGACCTGTTGTTGTTATTGTTGCACATTATGGAGTTGTTGAATTTATTATTAGT